TCTGTGCAGGTCCACGTCTTCGTATAGCCCCCATATAAAGGTACCTCCCTATATTCGGTATTTTGATGATATTAGCGACATTATTACCGGAATTGTTTCAAATTTGGCATTTGCAGTTCGTAATGGATACTACAGCCTATGACAGAAAATTGTCTGTGCAGGTCCACGTCTTCGTATAACCTCCCAATATTCGGTATTTTGATAATTTTAGCGTTATTATTCACCGGAATTGTTTCAAATTACGTATTTAGAGTTCGTAATGGGAACTACAGTCTGTGATAGAAAATTGTGTATGCAGGTCCAGGTCTTCCTTTAGGCCTCATATATCAGTACCTCCCTATATTCGGCATTTTGACTACTTTTGGTGCAATACCCACCGAAATTGTTTGAGATGTCGTATTTGAAGTTCGTAATGGATGCTACAGCCTGTGACAAAAAAATTGTGTATGCTTGTCCAGGTCTTTGCACAGCTCCGTTATAAAGGTATCTCCCTATATACGATATTTTGGTGATTTTAGCTACATTATTCACCGATTACTTCAAGTTTCGAATTTGAAGCTTATGACAAACAATGCCTATTTATGTCCACGTCGTATAGATCCCAATATAACGGCTATATTCGCTATTTTTAAAATTTTAACAGAATTTTGTAAGGATTTTATTTTGTAAAAATTTCCAAATTCGTTCCAAATGGTAGAGGGTATTCAAAGTACTTAGAAAGAAAGAACTTACTGCTGTTTATCTTGTTTTACATTTTTACAGTTCTAGAACAGAGCACATGTTGTTATTTTTTTTTTTTTTTTTTTTGACTCCGACGTACACCTTTCTTATTACACCATGGAAATGACATTCAACGCAACATAAACAAGTCTGTTCGTTCTCTTTTTCACTGCAAAGTATTCAGTAACTTCTTGTTAGTGCTTGAGGTCTTTTATTATCTATTATTGACTAAACGAAGCTGTTACCGAACGACAACCTATACAAGCTGTTGGGTGAACGAACACACCAAATAACCGAAGCCAGCCCTTACAACAAAGCGAACACGTTTTATATTTAACAGGCTTTTTGCAAGAGAGAATCACAAATAGATAAACGGAAAAACAAGAGAAAACCAGATGAAAGAATACATTACAGCTCCACAATAGGTCTGTCTGCTCACTAGGTATTTATATCATAGACAAGTGCATATGTAGGTAACAGAAAGTAAGTTATATTTTTAGGCAGGTGACTCTCAGGACACTTACGCAATCGACCCATTCGACATCGATAACGCATTTCATCTTTTTTTAAGTATTTCACTGGATTATTCCGGTATTTTTCGATGTCATCACGTAATTTTTACCTATATTTATTCTTGAATTGGAATTTCACTATCAAGTATCGTTTAATTGTTGATATTTTCAACATTTTAGAATTGAGTGACTTCACTATTTTCACTCATACCCCTAAAAATACATCTGCAGGGTGAGATAAAAAAAAACTGCAACAAGTCAAACGCCATAATTTTTACATTTTATTGAATGACAGCAAAAATTGTCGGAAATGGCATCAAATTTTAGAATAAGTTTAGATTTGTTCGAATTGGTCATCTTTGGAACAAATTATGGCCAAACAAACAGCCAATGAAACTGTCGCTGCCCGAATGTTGCTCTACGGTATTTTGGCCCATTCCCGGCGAAGGGCTTGCTTGAGGTGATCGACACTTTGGTATTTTTTAGTGCCAACCTTGCTTTCCAAAATACTTCAGACAAAATAGTTCAATAAATTGGTGGTCATTGTGCGATGGTAATGAAGCGAGGAAATTCATTTTGTAACCATTTCTGGGGTGCGCGTGCTGAGTGCGATGGTGCTGAATCCTGTTGAAATGTCCAAGGTCTGCGGCCAAAATGTTTGCGTTCCCAAGGCTTTAATACACCCTCCAGAATATTTTAGCGATAATATTCGGCATTTATTCTAATATCACGGTCGATTAATACGAGGGGAGCGCGACCATCGACTGTTATGGCGGCCCACACCATCACCATGGCCGGCCCTTGAGTTCTGTTGGCCAACCGAAGGTGCACATTTTGAGCTGACCTCTTTGGCAAGTAAATACCATCATTTTGTTTGTTTACAAACTACTGGACAACAAATGTTTTCTCATCGGAGAAAATCAAATTCGGCAGTTCACCACTTTCGGCCAAGCGAAGCAATTTTTTAGCTCTTTAGAGGCTATTTTCTTTCTGTTGCGGTGTAAGTTCTTGCACTTCTGGGAATTTCAATGGCTTTACTCCGAACTCAATATTCGCCGAATAGAGTATTGTGATATGTTCAGCTCACGAGCCAGTTTTGCGACGCGGGTTTCGATTTATTCACATTTAAATGCTGGAGTGCTCTAATGATAGCCACTTGTGGTTTGCCAGCCAAATATAAAGAAATCGCACTATCACGCTTGAATTTCATCACGAATAACTTTTTTTTTTCTGGAAAATTCTCACCAAAGTGCTGTTGAACACTTGTAAACAACATACTGAGCTTTCACTGGAAAAATTTTAACTGCTGTCGGACGAGTGGTTTAAAAATGACAGCAGTATGATTTTTTTCGACGATAGTCTATGACAAGAGCTTCTTCGCCGGTCAATTTCTCATAGTTCTTTTAAATCATCAACAAATATGTTTTAAAACATTATTTATACATTTTTTATATCAATTCGGTTTATATATAACTAGCTGAACCCGGTGCGAATCGCTACCCCCTTTTGATTTAATATGCAACCAATATTTTATATACTTATATTTTGTGGTTAAAACACATAAAACAAATTCAAGAATTTAACAAGTAAAAAAGCTGTAAGTTAGGCTAGGCCGAGCTTTGAATACCCTCCACCATTTTGAACTAATTTGGCAGTTTTCGGAAAAAAAAATCCTTTAAAAATCTTAAAAATACCGAATGTACATAGACAACTTTTGTCATATGCCATTACAATATTCAAATAAGAAACTTAAAAAAAATCGGTGAACAATTTAGCTAAAATCATCAAAATACCTAATATAGAGAGGTACCGTTATATTGAGGCTATACAAGACGTGAACCTACGCAGACAATTTTCTGTCATAGGCTGCATTGTCCATTACGAACTTTAAATGCCAAATTTGAAACAATTCCGGTGAATAATGTAGCTAAAATCATCAAAATACCGAATATCGGGAGGACCTGCACAGACAATTTTCTTTCTTAGGCTGCAGTATCGATTACGAACTTCACATACTAAATTTGAAACATGAATAATGTCGCTTAAATCACCAAAATACCGAAAATAGGGAGGTACCATTATATGGGGGCTATACCAAAACGTGCACCTACATGGCCCATTTACAATACCAAAAGTCCTGCAAACATAATATACATTTGAGTAAAATTTTATCAATCTACTTCATTTCGTTCCGAAGCTAGAGTGATTTCCACAGACGGACAGACGGATGGACACAACTAAATCGACATAGAATTTATGCTGCTCAAGAATATACATGGTGAGATAAAAAACCTGCAACCAACTTCAGACTGCTGTCATTTCAAAGCCACTCGTCCGACAGCTGTTAAAATTATTCCTGTGACAATTCAGTATATTGTAGAGCGAAGGAAAAGTTTTCCAGAAAAAAAAAAGTTATTCGTGATGTAATTCAAGCGTGATAGTGTGATTTCTTTATATTTGGCCGGGAAACTACAAGTGCCTATCGTGAGAGCACTTTAGCATTTAAATGTGAATAAATCATTTGTGTCTCGTACCATCGCTCGTTACCGTGATACTGGTCGCGTAGCCCGATGTCAAGGAAGTGGACGGAAGAATACAGCAACATCAGCAAAAATGGTTCGAAAAGTAAAGAAGCGACTCGATCGAAACCCGCGTCGCAGAGGCTGTAAAATGGCTTGTGAGCTAAACATATCGCAATATTCCATTCGACAAATATTGAAAAATGAGCTCGGGGTTAAGCCATTGAAATTCCAAATAGTGCAAGAACTTGCACAGCAACAGAAAGAAAATAGACTCAAAAGAGCTAAAGGGTTGCTTCTCCTTTTTCTCCGATAAGAAAACATTCGCTGTCCAGCAGTTTGTAAACATAGCAAAATTATCGTGTTTACCAAAGACGTCAGCTGAAAATATGCACCTTCGGTTGGCCACCAGAATACAAGCGCCGGCCATGGTGATGGTGTGGGCCGCCATAACAGCCGATGCTCTCTCTCCACTCGTATTAATCGACCATGGCATCAGAATAAATGCCGAATATCATCGCGAAAATATTCTGGAGGGTGTATTACAGCCTTGGGCACGCAAACACTTTACCGCAGACCTTGGACATTCCAACAGGACTCAGCACGCGCCACCCAAGAATGATTACAAAATGAGGTTCCCCGCTTCATTTTCAGCACACAATGGCCACCAAAATCCCCAAAATCCGTTGGATTATTGTGCCTGGAGTATTTTGGAAAGCAAGGTTGGCACTAAAAAATACCAAAGTGTCAATCACCTCAAACAAGCGCTTCGCCTGCAATGGGCCAAAATACCGTAGAGCAACATTCGGGCAGCGTGTGACGGTTTCATTGGCCGTTTGAAGGCCATAACTCGTGCCAAAGGCGACCAATTTGAACAAATCTAAACTCATTCTAAAATTCGATGCTATTTCCGACATTTTTTGCTTTTATTTAATAAAATTAAAAAAAAAGTAACAATTATGGCGTTTGACTTTGTTGCAGTTTTTTTTATCTCACCCCGTATATACTTTGTGGGGTCTTAAATGTATATTTCGAGGTATTGCAAACGGAATGACAAACTTAATATACCCTCCATACTATGGAGGGTAAAAAAATTAATGTGGGTGCATTGTAGTACGGGAACGAAAAACTGTGGAAAAAATTCTAAAATAGCTGGCAATCCTTCAAAACATGATTTTAACTGAAAAAATCACATGTGAACCCTTGACTTACCTTTGTGGCCAGTAAAAAATTGGAACATAAAACAAAGTACTTCTCAAATGCAACAATTTTTATTTCATTACAAGTTTTTTAATTATCAGTTTTTTCCGTTTTACAATGGCCATGAATAACCTTCATGTGATGCAGCATTCGAGAACGAAATTTAAATTGTTTCGAACAAATAATGCATTTTCGATCGATTCTTCTTAGGCCAATATTCCCAGCTTGGCAGGCTGCGTTCATTGTGATGTGTCGGACCAAAGAGGAGCGATGTTGAAATCTTGCTTTGCAACTACGACAAATGTGAGTTTTTGCTTTACCACCACGTCGGTTCGTGTACTTCTCGTCCTTTTCTTCAGCATCATCGATTTCTTGGTGTGGATTCGTTTGTCCACCCGAAGGACATTGAGCACGACAGGGAGAGCTCATGGTAATGTGACGCACCAAAGAAGAACGATGTTTGAATGATTTCTTGCAACTACGACACACATGCACATTCGATTGATTGTGAGATCTGTGTGTAATCATGAGATCTGCAAACTTTTTTGTTTTTCCTCGCTTGAACCTTTTTTTAGAGGCTGTTTTGCGAACATTTCCTTTGAGACACTCGACATATTTGGTGTGATATTGTTGTGCCTGCTTGGTTGAAAAACTACTGTGACACTTGAAACACTGAAAGAGTTCGGGATTAAGATGGGCATGGGCATGGTCCACCAATTGGCAACGGAAACGATATCTATGTCCGCAACATTCTACAAACATTTTCGTGTCTGGATGATGTTTGCTGAAGTGATGCGATAATAGGGTGAATGTTGGACACTTTTCGCCGCATATTCTGCAAGCCAGAATGGGCTTCCATTGGCTTATAATGGCATCAAGTTCATCGGAAGTCCTGTGATTTTTTCGTCCTAGCTCGGGTACGATGGGAATTGAACTTTGCATAACAAATTTTGTTTCCTCAAATTCTTCATAGATTTCTTCGTTCTCAGGCCCGTTCTCTGGGGTGTTTAAAACTGAGTTTTCTCCCCCCTCTTTGGATTTTATGGACTGAAGATCGCTACTGTCCTCATCCAACACAATTATGGAACCGTCTATCGAACAGGCAGTTTGGCTACAGTTGCTTTCCCTTTGCTGGGATAACATCAGCTTGGTTCGCCGAGTCCTGCCATTATCACATTGAACAACCCGCATGTGATTCATCATGCGATTTTCCGTTGTGAAACACTGGCCGCACTTCTCACATTGATAATGCTTCGGATCGATATGTATTTGGCAATGGGCGGCCAATCGACAACGAAAATGAAATGCACGACCACAACATTCAACCGAAATTTTCTCCTTAGGATGAATTTGGGCCACGTGATTGGACAGTAGCGAAAATGTTGTGAAAATCTCCTTGCAAATGTGGCACTCCAGTGATGGCATCCACTGACATATAATATCATCCAGCTCCTTTTCGTTTGCTCTTTTCTTTTTCGGTCTATTCGTCTCTAAGCTGTGTGCACTGGTTGTGGGAATATCACACGACTCGGTTTGACGGATCCTACTTTGAACGTTTGCAAGTAATTCGGTTTCGGACCAACTGGAAAACGAATTTTGCCAATCATAATTTGACACTTCGCGGGTTTCTTGTTGATCTTGGTCTTCCTCATCTGAACTATCTTTTAACGTACCGGCAATTGAAATTGTATCCGAACGTGCATCCAAACTGGGTCTAATTTGTGTGTCTTTTAAAGCTGCCCCCGCATTGCATCCTTCAACTTCGTTCAGGGGTTCAGGGTTGCAGTCATCGATTGATATGACAGATGCCACAAGCTGTTTATCGCTAATAGTACATTCTTTAGCGAGATTTTGTAGATACTGCTCTTTTGCGATTATAACATTTTTTTGAAAATTATTAAACGTGAAAATGTGATGCCAACATTCTTCACACAAGACAGCGAAAGGATCAGGTTCGTTGTCTTCAATTTCTAGAAACTATATTAAAAAAGATAACGGTTTGGGAATATTTATTAAAAATTATATTATTATAATTCTGAAATCTTACAATGTTGAAAATTTTTGAAAAAAATGACCTAAAGATATTTTCAAGTACAATATTTTTACTAAAATTTTTTATTAACATTACAAGGAGCTCTTGTGAAAATTTCCAGATGGGCGCGCGGCCATCTAAAACAGAATATTAACTACTCATGTAGATGGCGCCACATTGAATCTTTCGTCTGAAGCCCAGTATTTCGGTACCATTCTCGGCCAGCGTTTGAACTGGAAGAGAAACAGAGCACTCTACTCCTGCAAAAACTCCATAGGAAGGAGCTGGGGACAGAAACCGTATATCTTCAAATGGTTATATGACTCAATCGTTCGTCCGATTTTGACTTATGGTGGTTTATTTTGGTGGCACTCTCTGGGGAAGGCTTTCCACAGCAAAAACATTGACAAATTCCAAAGCGTAGCATCACTATTAATTACAGGTGCACTTAGAAGCACACCTCCGACTGCCTTGGACACCCTACTCAACCCTAAGTCTATTTGTACAGGGTGAGATGGAAAAACAGCAACCATATTCAGATTGCTGTCACTTCTAAGCCACTAGTCCGACAGCTGCAACATCAGCAGAAATGGTTCGAAAATTAAAGAAGCGACTTGATCGAAAACCGCGCCGCAGTGGCCGAAAAATGGCTCGTGAGCTGAACATATCGCAATATTCCATTCGGCAAATATTGAAAAATGAGCTCGGGGTAAAGCCATTGCAATTTCAAAAAGTGCAAGAACTTACACCGCAACAGAAAGAAAATAGACTCAAAAGAGCTAAAGAGTTGCTTCGCTTGGCCGAAGGGGGTGAACTGCCTAATTTGGTTTTTTTCCGGTGAGAAAACATTCGTTGTCCAAAAAAAAGATCGTATTTACTTGGCAAAGAGGTCAGCTGAAAATAATAAATGAATAAATGCCGAATATTATCGCGAAAATATTCTGGAGGGTGTATTAAAGCCTTGGGCACGCAAACATTTTTGCCTCAGACCTTGGACATTCCAACAGGATTCAGCACCATTGCACTCAGCATGCGCCAACCAAGAATGGTTACAAAATGAGGTTCCTCGCTTTATTTCCTGCGCACAATGGCCACCAAAATCTCCGGATACCAATCCGTTGGACCATTGTGTCTGGAATATTTTGGAAAGTAAGGTTGACTCTAAATAATACCAGAGTGCTGATCACATCAAGCAATCGCTTCACCGGGTCAAATGGGCCAAAACACCACAGAGCAACATTCGGGCAGCGTGTGACGGTTTCATTGGCCGTTTGAAGGCCATAATTCGTGTCAAAGGTGACCAATTCGAACAAATATAAACTTATTCTAAAATTGGACGCTATTTCCGACATTTTTTGCTTTCATTCAATAAAAAAAAATTAAAAATTATGGCATTTGACTTTGTTGCAGTTTTTGCCCAAAACTACAGACACTTTGTTCTGATTTCATTTTTACACCCTTGACTACATAGTGGTAAGGGTATTATGTCTTGGTGCAGTTGTTTGTAACACGGGGAAGGAAGCGAGCTAGACACATAGTTACTTTTGAGGATCTTCATCGAATAACTTTCTGAGTCGATTTATGCACGTCAGTCCGTCGGTCCATTTATTCTTGTGAAAAAAATGCAGGTCACATTTGTTATCCGATTGAGATGAAATTTTCTAAAAAAAATGTTTGCTTGGCCCAAGGACGAACCCTATTGAAATTGGTGATAATCTGATCAGATATAGCTCCCATATATCTTCAAGCGAGGGTTAGGGTTAAGTCCCTCACATTGGTAATATGCATTCAACAACAATAATATTGGGTACCAGATATCTTATAGAAGTCGGAATTACCTCTAACAAAGTTTATCAAGATCGGTTCAGATTTGGATATAGCTCCCATATATATCTTCAACCGATTTCGGGTTAATTGTGCACCAAATGGCTGTCCAAAAGTCCTGAATTTTGGTACATCCGACCGAACTCAGTCTAGAATCAAGTACATCAAATTTGGTGAAAATCGGTTCAGAAATAGCTATAGCTCCCATATATATGTTTCATCCGATTTGATGTTTAAGTCCCTCACATTCGTAATATGCATTCGACAACAATGATATTTGGTACCAGATATCTTATAGATCAATAGATCTTTATCAAATGTTATCGAGATCGATTTCAGGTTCATTGTGCAAATAATGGTTAATATCAGCCCAAATGGTGTAGGGAATTGTACAGTCGGCCCGGCTTTGACTTTTCCTAACTGATTCGTTTTGGGTATTATGGTCCACACACTGGTGTCACGTGAACATAATGTGTAAATCTATTTGAAACTACCACGTCTGTTGATTTAAAATGGGCCCTCAAAAATCTGAAGCTTGAGTTTAGCCATGTAGCGCTTAGAATTTTTTTTTTGATATTTCTGTGGGGTTTTCTATCATGTAAGTTAAAGATTGTAGAGAATCAAAATAATCGATCATTTATCGATAACAATTGTATATTTTAAGTTATGTTAATGTTGTTAAAGTTATCAGTTTTGTGAACTTCGCTATCATGTACATTTTGTATAACATAAATAATAATATATTTCACAAATACTTACCGATGGTGGAAAAAACTTAATGGTGGTGTGATAAGGCTCTGTGAAACTACCTAGTTCATCAAATAGACGTATAGAATTGTCGCAAATATTTTTGCATAAACGGCATGCGTTGAGTAAAGACATCGTTCTAGATAAAACTAGAATATACAAAAAAAAAAAACATGAAAATCATTAAAGCAGGCAGGAATGTTTAAATGTCTCCGTAACAGGTATTTCCTGAGTTACAGAAGATAGAAGAATGTTAAAATGTTAAACATAATTCCAGGATATTTTTTAATTATTTGTTTTTCTGTGAAAATGGTTGATCAAATTTCGGTTGGGCAGCGAGCCCGAAGCTCCTTTGTCAGAAACAGTCGAACAAGATATTCCCATCTAACAGTTACAGCTCCTGAAGACAGTAAATTATTTCAAAACCAGTAAAGAAAGTCCTAAAGTCGGGCGGGGCCGATTTTATGATACCCTACACCACTTTGCTAATTTAGTTGAGTTGATTGATTATAATTTAAAATTCAAAGGACTAAAACTGCCGAAGCATTTGTATCTTTTAAATTCGGACTTTTATTGCCCATTTGGTGCAAAATTAATTTGAAATCAGATAAAGATATATATGGGAGCTATATCCAAATCTGAACCGATCTCGATAAAATTTGGCAAAGATATTTCTGAGCTGTATTTGATATATTTCCCTGAATATCGTTGTTACGGAGTGCATATTACGGCTGTGGATAACAAATATAAAAAATCGGATGAACAATATATATGGGAGCTATAGTATATCTGAACCGATCTTCACCAAATTTGACATACTAGCTTCTAGACTCAATTCGGTCGTAAGTGCCAAATTTTATCCCATTTGGACAAGTATTAGACGTTTGGTGGACAATAAAAGGTAAATCGGACGAAGTTATATATGGGAGCTATATCCAAATCTGAACCGATCTCGATAAAATTTAACAAAGGTGTTTCTGAGTTGCATTTAATATATTTCCCCAAATATTGTTGTTACAGAGTGCATATTACGGCTGTGGAGGACAAAAAAAAAAACAAATCGGATGAACAGTATATATGGGAGCTATAGCTATATCTGAACCGATTTCGATCAAATTTGGCATACTTGTTATTAGGCCTAATTTGGTTGTGTGTGCAAAATTCCATACTATTCGGATACTATATTATCTGATATTACTCGTTTGGTGCACATTAGAAGGCAAATCGGACGAAGATATATATGGGAGCTATATATAAATGTTTACCGATTATATCTAATTTCAATAGGGTTCGTCCTTGGGCCAAACAAATGTTGTTTGGAAATTTTCATCTCATTCGGATAATAAATGCGACCTGCATTTTGTTCACAAGAATACATGGACAGACGGACTGACATGCATAAATCAACTCAGAAAGTGATTCTATGCAGATCATCAAAAGGAACTATGGGTCTATCTCGTTTCCTTTTGCCTGTTACAAACAAATGCACAAAGACATAATACCCTTATCACCTTGTGGTGTAGGGTATAATCACAAAGTACACTTTAGGCAAGCTCTCTGCAGTAGCGAGCATGTTATTGGCAGAAACGGTGTGGTTTATTTGATTTTGTTTGCGTATGTGTACGTAAAGAATTTTTTAACATAGTTTCGTAATGCCTAAATTTCTATTGATCACTTTCTCTGCGTATTTGATAAAAGTTTTATTGTCTTTTGTAAGAAAACTGTAAAAACTTGTAGAATGCCAAAATTGCCTTTTTTAAATAAAAACAGGAATATCCCGCCTTTCAACTCTTTTCCTCAAAATACTCTTATATTGATCAACGTGTAGGCAGTCTTAGACCTATCGTAGCCCGACCAACTAACCTTCGACATCATATACTGGATAAGTGTAGATTTGTTCGAGTCGTCACCTTTGGCACGAATTATGGCCTTCAAACGCCCAATGAAACCGTCACACGCTGCCATATGTTGCTCTGCGGTATTTAGGCCCATTCCCGGCGAAGCGCTTGCTTAAGGTATACTTTATTGCCAATCTTGCTTTCCAAAACACTCCAGACACAATAGTCCAACGGATTGGTATCCGGAGATTTAAGTAGCCATTCTGCGCTAGAAATGCAGTCCAACGGATTGGTATCCAGAGATTTTGGTGGCCTTTATGTGCTGGAAATGAAGCGAGGAACCTCATTTTGTACCCATTCTTGGGTGGCGCGTGCTGAGTGCAATGGTGCTGAGTCCTGTTGGAATGTTCAAGGTCTGCGGCTAAAATGTTTGCGTGCCCAAGACTTTAATACACCTTCCAGAGTATTTTCGCAATAATATTCGGCATTTATTCTGATGCCACGGTCGATTAATACGAGCGGAGAGTGACCATCGGCTGTTATGGCGGCCCACACCATCACCATGGCCGGCGCTTGAGTTCTGGTGGCCAACCGAAGGTACACATTTTCAGCAGACCTCTTTTGCAAGTAAACACGATCATTTTTTTGTGTTTACAAACTGCTGGACAACGAATGTTTTCTCATCGGAGAAAACCAAATTCGTCAGTTCACCACTTTCGGCAAAGCGAAGCAACTCTTTAGCTCTTTTGAGTCTATTTTTTTCCGTTGTGCTGTAAGCTCTTCCACTTTTTGGAATTTCAATGGCTTTACCCCGAGCTCATTTTTCAACATTTGCCGAATGGAATATTGCAATATGTTCAGCTCACGAGTCATTTTTCGACCACTGCGACGCGGGTTTCGATCAAGTCGCTTCTTCACTTTTCGAACCATTTCTGCTGATGTTGCTGTTTTCTTCCGTCCATTTCCTTGACGTCGAGCTACGCTACCAGTATCACGCTATTGAGCGATGGTAGGAGACACAAACGATTTATTCACATTTAAATGCTAGAGTGCTCTAGCGATAACCACTTGTGGTTTTCCAAATATAAAGAAATCACACTATCACGCTTGAGTTCCATCACGAATAACTTTTTTTTGGAAAATTCCCAGCAAAATGCTTTTGTACGCTTGTAAACAATATAAGAGCTGTCACTGAAATAATTTTAACAGCTGTCGGACGAGTGGCTTAGAAATGACAGCAGCCTGAAGTTGGTTGCAGTTTTTTCATCTCACACTGTATATATATGGGATTATTATAAATTTAATTTACTTGCTTCTAGACTGAATTCGGTCAGATATGCCAAAATTTAGGTTATTTTGCCTGATATTGGATATTTGATGCACAATTAACCCGAAATCGATTGAAGATATATATGGCAGCTATATCTAAACCTGAACCGATCTTGACAAAATTTGACACACTTATGTCAGAGCTGTATCTGATATCTGTACCAAAGATCATTGTTGTGGCATGCATACTACGCTTGTAAGGTACTAAAAACCCCAAATCGGATAAAACATATATAGCTATATCAGAACCGATTTACACCAAATTTGATGTACTTTGTTCTAGACTGAATTCGGTTGCATGTACAAAATTCAGGACTTTTTGACAGATATTGGCCATTGGGTGCCTAATTTACCCGAAATCGGTTGAATATATATATGGGAGATATATCTAAATTTGAACCGATTCTCATCAATTTCAGTAGGGTTCGACCGTGGGCCAAACAAATGTAGTTTGGAAAGATCAATTTCAATCGAATAATAAATGCGACCTGCATTTTTTTGCATGGACAGACGGACTGACATGGATAAATCGACTCAGAAAGTGATTCTATGAAGATCCTCAAAAGTAGCTATGGGTCTATCTCGTTTCCTTCTCCATGTTACAAACAAATTCACAAAGACATAAGACCCTTACCACTATGTGGTGTAGGGTATAAAAAGGTACCCTTGTGCATTCAATAATTTCATTATTTTCCATATTTTATATTTTTCATGAAATTTAATAATTTACAGCATGTGAACTTGGTATGACATACCTATTATTTGTTTATGCTTTGAGATGTTTCTGCGGGCAAAATAATTTGACTGTAAACTAAAATAACACAGATTCACCACAAACTGTTAACAAAACAAAATTATCATTGCTGAGGTTATGTACACGTACATACACGAACAACGTTTTCATATTCTCTCTCAACACTGTTCGCAAATAAACATACTCAACAAATGGTTTAAAAGAGAATCAAATAACCAGACATTTCGATTCAGTAAACAAATCAATAGGTCAGAGCATTTTGTATGTAGTTATCTAATAAATATTTAGTTCTATTAAAATATTTAATATTTTGTTTCATAAAACTAACTAAATTGTCTCTTACCTTAGATGGCTATAACTGATTTAGCATAATTACACTTTTCAGTCATCAAAAGAAATAAAAATCCACAAATTCACACCACGAATGAACCGAAAGAACTAAGCTGTAAACAAAAGTGGGTAAACACACATCGTGTCTGTTGGTTTGATCCAGCGCAACAGAGCGTTGTAGCAGCTAGTCTGTACAACCCACTGCACAGACATACTACAAACAAATTTATAACAGACCGTAGTTTTGCGAATATGTTAAAAACAAAACTCGTCGTTCTCATGGATACATGCACGTATGTTTGTAGGCAAGTAAAATCAGCTCGCATGAGAGGATTGTGTTTATATTTCATACAAATCCATTGTTGCCAACTTTTGCTACAAAAACGGCAAAAGTTCATATATCCTGTCCCACTAATATTTTACAAGAAAATGTTCATTTTCCAATCAAATTGAAAATTTTGGCCGGATGTTGAATGTTTCACAAGGTATAATTAAGAAGGTAATCTCGTGCAATCACATGTTTACATTTTTTTCAAAATAGTATCACATTTTCTAATATAATTGTTAATAGTTTGGCACTAAGGGTTCGTAATGGGATTTGCCTCCTGTGGCAGATCATTGTCTATATATATTTCAATGTACCAGATTTTGCCTATTCAACTACTTCCCGAACTTTATATGAGATATGTGATAATTTTTGGAACATTTTTAATTGTGCGCGATGTACCAGATACAATGGACCGAGGTATTTCACATCTTTACTAATCATAATATTGGGATGTGCAAGATCGGACACTTGTTTACAATTATGTAGGAATAATTGTTAGTCAAAAAAATGAAAAGGAGAGCTAAGAGATATATTTATTCAAAATTTGGACGTTTTTGTGGGAAGGTACTA